CTTGGATAGGACATTGGCCTTGGGACCTCTGAGGTTAACTGCCCAAAAAAAACACCCAAAAGTCATTCACTGAATGTCAAATTAAGATGTCACATTCCAGAAACCAAATCTACTCAATTGTTTAGTATTACATGTTCGAGAAAACTGCGTTCTGGGTTATCAAAAAGTGGACTAGTCTTTCACAGACATTATTTTGGGTATGACATATAGCATTAAATTAAATGCAAAGGTAGTATATTCTACAGACTCCTTGTAGACTTATAGACAACAAACTTCTTGGGAAAAAACACAGACCTCAATATATATTTACAATCTATGCCCTAATAGTAATAGTGCACCAACAGTAATTCCATTGTGATTAGGTGTATTTAGCTTTATAAAAGCATCTATTTTTAGAAGAAGACAGCAGCAAATAAAGAGTGCCAAACAATAAAAAAGATGAACAGAAAGATACATACATATTCAGTAAATGATATTCATAGTAGAAATATTATCAAAATATATATCCGTGCATAAAGGAGGAATCAAATGATATAATCAGGATTAGCTCCAGTCTGGAGAGGTGGCACCATACATATACCTGCACATAAAAGCAATGAGCAACAATAACCAACATCTAAGACAGATAATAAGCAAATACATAAATGCTTATTTAACAGCTGATTTTATCTTTTTTTTTTGCTTAACATTTATTGCTAAAGCAACCAAGCATGTGTGGGTGTTCCTTGCTTTGTACCTAAACACAAACGGTATAATGAGTATATAAACTATATAAATCACTGTATTGATTATTAATAATTATTGTATGATGGAAAACTGTTATATATATATATATATACATACATAGATTATTATGACCACCCCATCAGTACTTTGTTGGGCCACCTTTTGCCTTCAATACTGCGGCGATTCTGCTTGGCATTGACTCTGCAAACAGCAATCAGCCATAACATTATGACCACCCACCTAATTTTGAGTAGGACCCCCTTTTACCACCAAAACAGCCCCCACTAGACCTGTCGGTATGCTGTGGTATGTGCCACTAAGCCATCAGTAGCAGATCCTACAAGTTATGTGTGTTGCGAAATGGGGCCTCTATGGATTGGACTTCAGCGCATTCCCAAAGATGCTCGATCTGATTGAGATCTGGAGAATTTGAACTTTGAACTTGTTGATGTGTTCTTCAAACCATTCTTGAAGCATTTTATCAGTGTGCCAGGGTGCATTATCCTGCTGAAAGACCACAGTCATCAGAGAATACTGTTTCTGTGTTCTTGGTCAGCAACAATGTATAGGTAGGTGCTACATGTCAAAATAACATCCAAATGAATGGCAGGACCCAAGGTTTCCCAGCAGAACATTACACTGCCTTTGCTGGCTTGCTTTCTTCCAATAATGCATTTTGGTGTCATTTCTTCCCTAGGTAAGCAACACACAAGCACCCAGCCATCTACATGATCCAAAAGAAAACATGATTTGTCAGACCAAGCCACCTTCTTCCATGGTCCATCTCTGATGCTCCCATGCCAATTGTAGGCGCTTTGGACAGTGAACACAGGTCAGTATAGGCACCCTGACCAGTCTGCGGCTGCGCAACCCCATACGCAACAAACTGTGATGCAGCGTGACACCTTTCGATCGGAATCAGCATTAACTGTTTCAGCAATTTGAGCTACAGTAGCTCTTTAATTGGATCTGACTACATGGGCCAGCCTCCGCTCCCCATGTGCATCAATGAGCCTTGGCCGCCAATGACCCTGTTGCCAGTTCCCCCGTTTTCCTTCCCTGAACCACTTTTGGTAGGTCTTGAGAACAGCATACTGGGAACATTCCACAAGAGCTGCAGTTTTGGAGTTGCTTTGACCCAGTCGTCTAACCATCACAATTTGGCCATTGTCAAAGTCGCTCAAATTTTTTTCTGCTTCCAACACATCAAGTTCAAGGACAAAATGTTCACTTGCTGCCTAATATATCCCACCCACTTCCAGGTGCCATGGTAACAATATAATCAATGTTATTCACTTCACCTCTCAGTGGTCATAATATTATGGCTAGTCAGTGTATAAATAGAACACTGTAGTAAAATTACACAACAGTTCCTGTTATTTATTTGAATGCAATGCAATTTAGTTACATCCCATATTACATCACATAAAATGTCAGGGTACTCCCAAGCAAGGGCAATTTAGAAAGATCAGTGACTATTGTTAATAAAATACAAAAGACTCTAGTACATCATTTTAAAATTGCCATAAACATATATTGGCAAATAAAGCATCTACGCTTAAATGGCACCCCAGTGCACACATACAAAAAGTCAAAGTATACCTGAATTATAAAACATCACAATCTATAGATAATGAATAGTGCTTTGTTTACTTTTTAGAAACATAGTCTAAATGTTCTGGCTTATTACTCCCAAGTAAAGTATTTGTCATCAGAGGCGTAGAGCTATTGCTTGGCCAATGGCCAAAACAATAATACATAGATTGTTCAATAGCAGATGTGATAACATTAGACCATTTAGACTAGATTATCTGAGGTCTGATTTGTGTTTGTTTGCAGTAGGAATCCCTTTTGTTTAAATGCTAAACTGCAGGTAAATTACTATATACACAGGTCAAATACATATAAGTTTTACCTGCCAAAATATTCAATAGTATTTTTTGAATCTGCCTAGGCTGGAAATCAAAATTAGCTTAAAAAAAACAATTAACCCTCTTTACGGTAGAGTAGGAATGGAGCCAATATTGAGACCAGGACCAAACACCCTAAAAAT